CTTTGACTCGCTATTCCCTGCCGATATATACTCGTACACACAATCATGACATCGTATACGATAGTAAAGCAGCACTCGCAACCCACCCACCCGCCGTCTCGGTGCTGCACCCGACAATATGCCAGAACGGCCGCCTTGTCCATCTGCACGCGCTTCTCATGGTACTGGCGCGCAAAGGGTAGCTCCTCGGCAGGGAAGTACTCCCAGGCGGAGCGGTTGACGACTTCATCTGGAGTATAGCCGAGGATGTCGATGATGGAGTCGGAGGAATAGAGGATGCGGGCGTTTGGGGTGAGGTCTGAGGGGGGGGAGAAGGAGTCAGTGGTATTCAAAGAGGAGAGGTGGACGGGACGGGTCGATGAAGACGGAGTGGTGGCAGAAGTGGGTAGCGGAAAGGTGGGCGGTACCGTGGATGGAGATGAAGGTGGTCTCCATGCTGGTGTCTGTGGCTGGTTGTTGTTGCTGGCTCTCTCGTAAGGAGCACAATCTCCTGTAGCCGGGTGGCGGGTGTATGCTCGATTACGGCCGGGCGCGCATTGAGACCACTCGCCCTCGTCGTACGTTGGCAGGGAGGTCGCGGTATTATTGTCCCTCTGTGGCGTCTGGTGTCGTCGGTCAACAGGACATGGAGTCGGAGTCGGCCGGGCCGCTGCTTCTGCTGTGCCTGGTGGTAGATGGTATGCGGGCGTGGGAGTGGAGGTAGCGGAGCGGTGATATTATCGCTAGTGTCGGCAGTGGAAGGCGAGAAGGTGTGGTGTGGTTGCTAAACGGCTCGGGTACATGGATTGGCCGTCTGGTACGTGTGCGAGGTAGCGGAAGGGTCTGGCGCCGATGACGTAGCTGTGCATCAACTGTGCAACGCCTCACCCATTTTCAGTGAGAAGAGGAACACCACCCCCACCTCACCACACCGCCCCCTCCAACCCACCGACATCACCACCCCACCCCGCCGCGACACAACACTCCCTCAGCCTGGACGGGTTTGACTGCACTTCCTGCACCGCGGAGGTATCCCCTTTGCCACCGGGCGCCACCTCTACTAGCCATCGTCCATGCTATCTTCCGCATGCTCACTTCCCTTACAGCCTTGTTGGAGATGTTGATCGTCTCCTACAGCCAATTTCGCTCCTCCTCCCCATCTGCCATCCGGAACAACACCGCTCTGTCCCCACAGCCAGTCGTTGACGGCCATCCTGAGTGCCTAGCGGCGTCCCACAGCGGCCGCAGACGGTCACCTTGCAGCTCACACAGCCGGCATGCACGCTCTTGATTGACGTCGCACAAGATCTGCTCTTCAAAGCAAACGCAGCCGAGTCGTGCGTCGCCGGGCATATCCGACTTCACTTCCCGTCTTGTTGCACGTCGCTCATATGCACTCGGGAACCTCTTGAGTCAAGCTGCCTCAGGTAACAGGTGCACATGTAGCGGACCCAGATTTTCAGGCTCAGTGCACAATACCAGGTATCGGTATGCCTTCCGTTGCCTCACTCAGCGGCCACTTTCCCACTCTACGCAGCTGCACCAAGCTTTCCGATGGTAGGTATACATCCGCAATGTCTATCGCTTTTGATGTTTCCTCCTCTGATCATATTGCACAGGCCAAGCTCTCTTCGACGTCAAATTCTATCCCTATCCCACTACTGATGATGAGCCTATATTTGCCGTGACTGGTTCGAGTCATGTAAGTCGGCCGCACGATCATAGAATGAGACCGCTGAGGACTGACGGATCTATACATCTAGTTGTTTGTATGCCGCCCAAAGCTTGGCACAGACCCCCCGTTTGAGGTCCTGCGGTGGTTCCGACTCGACGGCGTGAGTTGTCAATCCTCGCACACCTGACACGACTGACCCGGATTCAGAACGAACACTCCTTCAACAGTCTCATATGGGCCCTTGACCCCGTCAGCGGCGAGCCGCTGATCTGCGTAGCTGGTGAGAAGCCAAAGCAAATCCAGATCTTCAACGTTGAGACTGGCAAACATGTCAGAAGCCTAGTCGGTCATGGCGCCGCGATCAACGACTTGGCCATCTCCCCAACCTCGAGTTGTCTCTTAGCCTCAGCCTCAGCCGACTACACTATCCGACTCTGGAATCTGGAGCCTGCGTTCAAAGATCAGCCCTGCGTTGCCATCTTCGCGGGCGAAGGCCACCGCCAGCACGTCCTCACAGCCCAGTTCCACTCTAACGGTAAATGGATCGTGACCGCCGGCCTCGATACTGCTATGGCTATCTGGGCCGTTCCCAGTAACGACGCACTTGCACAGCACCACGCGCGCAAGCACGGGAGCCATCCTGCACCGCTTACGGTCTATTACCCGCACTTCCACTCCACAGAGGTGCATGCCAACTACATCGACACAGCCGTCTTCTATGGCGATCTCATCCTTTCCCGATCGGCCAAACACCAATCCGAAAACCCGGCCCGCACCACCACGAAGGTCAAAATCGTACCCAACGAGATCCTCCTCTGGAAGATCGACGGTTTCAACTCCGAGGATGATCCTCCTACCGAACCCCCGATACCCACTCCAGGTGTCTGGACGCGCTCCTCCTTTCCCCACGACTCTAGGTCCCGTGGTCTCCAGCGTCTGATGACGTTCGACATGCCGAATACCTCCCGTTTCTACCTGCGCTTCGGCCTGCTGCATCAGCCGGGAGTGAGACCTATCCTCGCGATGGGAAATGAGGAGAGCAGGTTTCTGTTTTGGGACTTGCAGAAATTGGAGGAGGGGTACGATGCCAATGAGGAGAGTGAGGCGAAACTCAAGATGCCTGGGGTCAAGGCGCCGCGGCAACGGAAGAAGGGGAAGGCGGCTGAGGCGCAGCAGCAGGTGAACGAGAGTAACCTGGGTAGCCTGGGGGAGTTGAGGAGAGGGGAGAGCGTTGGAGGTGGTGCGGGTAGTGATCTTGGTTCTGGCAGAACACGTAAGTCTTAGCTCCCTCCCCTCGCCTCTCCATGACGGTTCCAATCCACAACCTTGAGACCATCCCCGAAAGCTGATCAACCCACCACCACCACCTCACTTACCGTTTCCTACCTCCTCCTCATCATTTCATCACTGCCCACCGCCCACACTGACCTCCACCCCTCCACACAGCCGACCCCTCCCTCACGACCTCTGCCTCCAACGTACCCCCGGAGCGCAAATTTGACCTCGGCGACTCCTTCATGCCGCTCAAGCCGCACCACTCGGTCCTGGCCTGCACGACGCTGTCGTCCAAGAAGCACTTTGCTATGGCGCAGATTGCGTGGAGTCCGAATGGAGGGAGGTGGATGGTTGGGGTGGGGGATGGTGGGATGATGTGTATCTTTCATCGGAGTGTGGAGCGCGAGGGCGGTGGAGTCAGAAGCCCGTGAGAGGATTTGAGCTGGAATGGCGGTGTGTGTGAGGGTCCAATGATGGGCTGGGAAGCGTGTCTATCCCGACGGCTCCCAGCTTGCTTTCAGCGTGGTGCGAAGGCTCTGCTGGAACGACGTAGACGTCTTTGCACCTCCAATATTGCGACCAATGAGGACGATCTTGCCTTCCGCGAACCCTTCAGAAGGCTCACCACCGGCACTCAGACCCGAACCGTCGATGATCTCGAATACCTCGCGCACGCCCTGCAGCATCTTCACTCTGCCATCCGTCATTGGCAGTCGGCCTTTCGCCCGGTGAATCTCCCACTGACCTCCCACCGCCGAGCTCGGCAGGCGGCGCGACCACAACACCGACCTGAGCCATACGTCCAGTCGCTGCAGTCCCTTTTCATCGAGTACCGGAACAGAAAGCGTCACCGTCCCAATCGCCGGATCCAGATGACTATGCCCCTTACTCGCGAAATCCAGATCCGCCGCCTCAACCCGATCGTAAGCGTGAAGATCCAGCACCACGCCCTCCAACCGCGGCACTCTCCCGCGCTCCGTAACATGCAAACTCGCCAATCCATTAATAGACCGTACCCTCTCCTCCACCGCCCTCAGCTCCTCGCCACTAACCAGATCACTCTTATTCACCACTACAACGTCCGCATGCGAAACCTGCAAATGCGCCACCGACAACCTCGGCCCCGCATGCCCCTCCCCTTCCTCCTCCACCTCCTCCCCTTCCACTGGCTCCTCCAAACACCTCACCAACCCCCCCGCATCCACCACTGTCACAATCCCATCTAAATACACCGCGCTCCCCAACCCCTCGTCCACCCAAAACAGCGGCGCCAAGTTCCCCGGATCCGCCAGCCCCGTCGTCTCCAGTAGGACGTAGTCGAAGGCTTCCCGCTGGCTCTCGAGGAGGGCTTCGATGGCGAGGACGCCGGAGTCTTTTACGGAGCAGCAGAGGCAGCCGTTGGGGAGGGGGAGCCAGGCGGCTACGGATTGGGTTGAGGAGGGTTCGGTTATGGAGAGGGAGGTTTGTTCTAGGTCGGTTGAGTTGCCGAATTCTTGCCATAGGTGTCAGATTTTTGAATGGGTTTTGGGAGGGGTTGGGGCCTTGGAACGTGAAGGGCGAACGGGTTGGGCGGGGGTTTGGTTACCGTTTAGGATTACGGCGATCTTCTTGCCGTGGTGAGCTGTGAGGATGTAGTTGAGGAGGGTCGTTTTGCCTGCGCCTAGGTAGCCTGGAAGCAGTTTCAGTGTATTGTCAGGCTTCACAGGGCGGCTATCAATTCTCCTCTCACCTGTGATGATGGTAATGGGTACACGAGCCAGTTTTACGTCCTCCATGCCCGTGGCGAGGGAAGTTTCCGCTTCGTCGGCGTTGTGGGTGGCGACGAGTGCGGGTGGGACGTCGTCGTTGTCCTCGTTTTCGACAGCCATGATCGAAGCACTGCTGCTTCTGTGACAGATATCTTGGCAGGGTACTTTCCGAGAAATTGTAAGTGATGTGCGAGTTCACCGTACAAACTCATGTCGTGGGCTGTCAAAGTTCGCGGCATAAGAACGACGCACTGCGACATTCTGGCCCAAAGATCTTGCTGTCAATATATTGGTTTTATCCCTCAGCCGGCTTGAAATCAGACGGCCTGGTGGTCTAGCGGTATGATTGTCGCTTCGGGAATTGTTTCCTGTCGTCCCAGACGGCGTGAATGTGACAGGCCCCGGGTTCGAATCCCGGCCAGGCCCGTGTGGTGTAGCAACAATGAGATTGTCTTTTTGCCCTTGTTTTACTTCTTAGGGATGTATCTTTCTAGGAAGGTGAAGAAGAGACAAGCGCCTTGGCTGAGTTATCAAGCCGAGGCTTCTGCAGGACCACTCTCCGAGCTCCTCTTTTGATCTTTAAACGAGAGAAACAAGTACAGCTACATGTATCGTTGGTCTATATCGTCGCATGTACATCTACATCTACCCATTGGATATTTCCGCTTTAGACTCGTTCCAACACAGGTAGGACTCAAGCCAACGCAATCACAATGGCACCAGTTGACTCTACACCCACCTTCGAATCTCCTCAGCCGCCAGCAAAGTACTGCATCCTCTCCTACCCAGCCCCTAATGTCTTGCTCGTCCGGTTGAGCAGGCCGAAGGACCTCAACTGTATCAATATGGAAGGGCATGCCGAGCTACACAAGATCTGGGAATGGCTGGACGCCGAGCCCTCCTTGAGCGTGGGCATAATCACAGGCACCGGACGGGCGTTCTCTGCCGGCGCCGATCTCAAGGGTAAGTTTATGCCAGAGGCCTCTGATATGTTCTGAGACGTTGACGGAAGTGCAGAGTGGAACGCCCGCAACACCGCCGGCCAGAAACGCGAAATGGTCTCGTCCGGATTCGGAGCCCTCTCGCGCCGCAGCGGCCGCAAACCCGTCATCGCCGCCGTCAACGGCCTCGCGTTCGGAGGCGGCTGCGAGCTGATCGTCAACTGCGACTTGGTCGTCGCTAGCAGCAACGCCACTTTTGCGCTCCCGGAAGTTAAGAGGGGAGTTGTGGCGTTTGCGGGAGCGCTGCCACGGATTGTGCGGACGATTGGCAAGCAGCGGGCTATGGAGATGGCGCTTACGGGCCGCACGGTCTCGGCGCTGGAGGCGAGGGAGTGGGGCTTGGTGAATAAGGTTGTTGGGGACAGGGAGGGCGAGGTGGTGGAGGCTGCGGTCGAGTACGCGAAGATGATTGCGGAGAACAGTCCTGATGCAGTGATTGTGAGTCGGGAGGGAATCAAGATGGGATGGGAGGGGATGGGGGCTGAGGATGCGACGAGGTTGGCAAATGATGTTTGGTTTTCGAGGTTGCAGGCTGGTGAGAATATCAAGGAGGGCGTGCGGGCGTTTGTTGATAAGAGGAAGCCGAAGTGGAAGGCAGCGAAGCTGTGAAAAGATCCTTTTCATGCTCCTAAACATGCGAGTGCCGACGGTGATTCTCGTAGGGCTCTATGCGCCTCGCTTCTTTTCACTGCGACCGACTACCGACGATGTGCAACCCAAGCAGAATACCACGAGCTCATCGTTCTCGGCGCTCCGTTCAGACATTGCGGAATAGCGTCACCGCCAAGTCTGGCAACTACTACGACGCCATCGGCGACTCCAACCTCATCCAGAAGGCAAAAGAGGACGCCCTCACCTCTTTGCCATCTTCGGGTGATGATTGTCAGAGTGATCTGTCCTTCAGCCTTCAAGTTGGGATCCTTCCATTCGTATATGTTACGGACAAAAGCTTGTGCTGATGCTGCGAAAGACTTGCTAACTCGAGCGTATCGCAGCCTCGACACCAACATTGGCCAAGCGGAAGACGGTCAGGTTGTTAGTATCAATATGATCGACTGAAGCAGATGGTGGCTAGTGGTGCAAGCGACGAGACGCACCTACGTCGAGAGTTCAGGCTCAGTGAGTTTACAGGCGTACGCACACGAACGCCGATTGTTCCGACTCTCACCGCCAGAGCCACGTACTCAGCTCCATCGCGTAATCGATCATCGCACGAGCATATTGCGCCATAGTTCGGGTGGACATGCGTACATGTACATGTACTCAGCAACGCTGATAGCTCCAACTAAGGTGCTATATCTCGGTCTCACCCGCAGTCGGACCGTGCTGGAGAGAACTTCCTAATTCGGATTCTTGGAGCTTGGACTCGATGCACCAGAATGGTGTCTCTCTGCCATACACCTATACCGTGGCTTCGATGATGTACAAGTGTATGATTAAGTTACGTTTGCTGGGTCGCAATGCAGCATCCACCTGGTGTTGTATGATCATTCCTCGATCGCCACTCCGCAAATGGTCAACCCTTTCAGCAACTTTCGATTCTACATCAAATTGGATCGTTTCTGTGCTAGCTGAGCCGCTGGTCTGTCTGCGAACAGGACTGCAGTGGATTGAGATATTGAGTATACGTCTTACCATAACTTTGTCGTCGCTCCGAGCCTCGAACACCACCGGCAGATCGAGGGCTACATTAAGTTCCCGCAAACATGGCTCCCTCACCTCGTGTAGTCATCATCGGAGCCGGCATCGTGGGCACCAACGTCGCCGATGAGCTGGTCTCGCGTGGACGGGACGACATCACCGTCGTCGAACAAGGGCCATTGAACATGCCGGGTGGTTCTACATCGCACGCCCCGGGCCTCGTGTTCCAGACCAACTCCTCCAAAACGATGAGCGAGTTTGCAAAATACACAGTCAGCAAACTCTTATCACTGGAGCAGGACGGGCAATCATGCTTCAACCAGGTCGGCGGTCTAGAAGTCGCCACAACGCCCGAGCGACTGGAGGAGCTGAAGCGGAAGCGCGGCTGGGCGCAGTCGTGGAAGATTGAGACTCATCTTCTCACGACGGACGAGTGTCTGGAATTGTATCCGCTGCTCGACAGGGACTCCGTGCTTGGCGGCCTGCACATCCCGAGCGATGGGCTGGCGCTTGCGGCACGAGCTGTACAGCTTCTGATTGCGCGAACGACGAAAGCTGGTGTGCGTTACCTTGACATGACTCCTGTGACGGATATTGAGCGGAGCGATGGGAAAGTTACTGGAGTCACCACACCCAATGGCAGCATTCCCGCAGACATCGTCATCAGCTGCGCGGGTTTCTGGGGCGTCGAGATTGGCGCCATGGTTGGCTTGCCGATCCCATTGTTGCCGCTTGCTCACCAGTATGTCAAGACTGGGAGCTTGCAAGCTTTGGCTACTCCGAACAAGCCCGCAAACGGTGCAGACTTGCCAATTCTACGCCACCAGGACCAAGACCTCTACTACCGGGAGCACGGTGACCGGTACGGAATTGGCTACTATGGTCACCGGCCAATGCCCGTCGTTGCGGCGCCGTTGGACACTACACCCGCGCACGTGGATGAAAAGAACATGCCATCCCGCCTAGATTTCACCTCCGAAGACTTCAAGCCAGCATGGGAAGCATCCAAAAAGCTCCTGCCTGTGCTAAGGGAAGCCGAGATCACCGACGGCTTCAACGGCATCTTCTCCTTCACGCCCGACGGCGGGCCAATTGTGGGCCAACACCCAACGCTCGATGGCTTCTACGTCGCCGAAGCAGTCTGGGTAACGCATTCCGCTGGCGTGGCGAAAGCGCTCGCGGAGCTCCTCACGACCGGCCGCTCCGAAGTCGATCTCGCGGACTGCGATCTCGCGCGCTTCGAGGAGGTGCAGCTCGCTCCCGCCTATGTCAGCGAGACTTCGCAGCAGAATTTCGTGGAGGTGTATGATATACTCCACCCTATGCAGCCGAGAGAGTCGCCAAGGAATCTCCGCGTCTCGCCCTTTCATGCGCGGCAGCAGGAGCTGGGTGCAGTGTTCGTGGAGAGCAGGGCTTGGGAGCGCCCGCAGTGGTTCGAAGCGAATGCGGAGCTGTTACAAGATCTACCAGCTCAGTGGCGACCTGTGAGCCGGGACGTGTGGTCTGCGAGATTTCACTCCCCGATCTCCGCTGTGGAAGCGTGGAAGACCCGGACGGCGGTTGCGATGTACGACATGACGCCGCTCAAACGCCTGGAAGTGTTTGGCCCCGGAGCTGCCAACTTGCTGCAGCGGCTGACTACCAGCGATATCTTGAAGCATCCGGATCAAGCCACATATACCCTCATGCTCGACAACGGCGGAGGCATACTCGGCGACGTCATAGTAGCCAGACTCGAGCCCGACTCCTTCCACGTAGGAGTCTTCAGTCCCACCGCCCTCGACTACATCTCCCGTACCGCCCGTAAACACTCCAAACGGAACCCCAACCAATGGACTCAAGTCCGCGACATCACAGGAGCCACCTGCAGCATAGGCCTCTGGGGCCCCCTCGCCCCCTCCGTCATGCAAGCCTTGCAAGCCCCAGACATCGCCAACCTACCCCACCACGGTTTCTGCAAGACCTTCATCGCCGGCATCCCCGTCCTAGCTATCCGCCTCTCGCACGTCGGCGAGCTGGGCTGGGAAATCTACACCAGCGCCGAGTTCGGCCTGCGGCTGTGGGATGTCCTGTGGGCTGCTGGACAGGCGTATGGCGTGGTAGCTGCGGGGCGAGCGGCGCTGAATGCTTTGAGGATGGAGACGGGGTTTAGGGACTGGGGTGCGGATATGACGAGTGAGCATGGGGCTTATGAAGCTGGGTTGGGGCAGCTTGTTGATTCGGGGAAAGAGGGATATGTTGGGGAGGCGGCGGTCAAGGGGCGGAGTGAAGGTGGGGCGTTGAGACGTTTGCGGACGTTGACGGTTGATGATGGGCGATCAGTTGTGTTGGGCAAGGAGCCAGTGTTCTACGATGGGAGAGCGGCGGGGTATGTTACCAGTGCGGCTTTTGCGTATACGATCCGAAAACCGATCGCTTATGCTTACTTGCCTGGGGAGGTGCTTGATGGGGAGGCAGTCGAGATTGAGTACTTTGGGCGGCGGATCAGGGCTACTGTTACGGATGAGCCGTTGTCGAACGTGTCTGCTCGGAGGGAGAGACCGCAGGTCTCGAGCCGGGCGGTCGAGCATGTGAGAGCTCGCTTGTGACGAGAGCAGGGTACGGGTAGTGCAGTTCACGCATTGGAGGGTACGACGGAGGGATCATCTCGTCACTCCAAGGTGGCAAAAGTTGAGAAATATTACGACTTTCACCGTGAAACATGCTTTCGTCTTCTGCAGATTTGGCACTCATTTGGCATTGAGACCTTCAAACTTCTCGTATCTTCCGCTACTCACCGACCCA